AAGACATAAAGGAGAATTCGCGGCGAGAACTGAAATCAATTCCGGAAACAGCGTTTAAAAAAAGTTTCGATGATTGGATTATTCGTTGGCGTAAGTGTATCGTTTCTGAAGGAGCATACTTTGAAGGTGATAAAATAAATTTAGATGAATAACAAACATTTTGTGTGTATTATTGACTTTTTCCCGGTACTTTCTTGACAGAGTAGTACATGATAAATAAATTATATATATTATGTTTTTGATAACATAAGCTTCTGCCCTAGGCTTCGCCCGCGTGGCATGTTGATAAAAAAAAGCCTTTGCGTCCTAGGGTATCGTTTATCTACATACCAAATTTCAACTAAATCGATCTAGCCTTTTTTGCATGAGAGAATAACAAACACACCTATATCAATACATTCTTACAAACTTTCATATACCTATTTATAACATTAATAGGATTTAATAAAATATTTTTTCAAATAAAACACAGTCAGAAACGGAAACATAATCACCGAAAAGATCAATCTACTCGTTTTTTTTAAAAAAATTTCCTCCTCCTCCTCCTCGCGTCGATTTCCTCAGTGCTGAGGGTCGTGACCTCCTCGTGGAAGTAGTGTACTGCGTATTACATCACCCAAAGGTAGACTGGTAGAGAATGCTTATTGCATGAAGTCCGCATATGTACAGTGTTTTGTGCATGAAGTTTCAAATAAATAAATATTACTCTCCGTCATCTATTTCTATCTGCCGCCGAGTGGAGAGCATTGTGGACTGTAGTGTTGAGAGTGGTGCGAATCTGATCCGTCCAACGTATCGGACTTCTGCCTCTAGGTCTATTTCCTTCCACTTTATCAGTGATCAGTGATCAGTGAAAAAATATTTCAATAAACTAAAAAAATACAAGTATCACTTTATCGATCATGGTCAATATTGGCCATGAAAGCTGTAGAATTTAACCAAAAGTGAATGACCTTAATTGTACCTTAGACGCGTGTTGCACCCATTTTTCTATACCCTATTCAAGGTCAAACGTACTTGCTCGCCTTAATTAAATAATCTTCACACAATTTATTAGTCTACTATCGATATAACGGCATACCAATCTAAATATGAGAATAATTGCAATAAATTATACTAAAATTAATCAATCAATGAATTATTTATGAACAGCTGTTCTCTATCGACATTGTTGCAGTAATCGTTATGAGAACTAATCTCGAATGGAACATAATAACGGTTGTGCTGATGTATTGATTAATAGTATCAATAGACTCGCCCTCCATTACGTGGGGCAAAGAATATAAATGAATCTTGTTACTATAGATACACAAAATAGAGCAATCGTACCTACATCAGGTAAACTTAAGTATTCATCTAACTATGCAATCGAGTTTATAAATATAAGTTAGACTGTGTTTCCTCTTAAAAAGAAGCATCTGCCATAACTTCTACGCTTTGTAGGAGGTGGCGTTTAAAAGGCGACGTTTTATCAAATAACATTGCTTCCAAAAGCGTGTTTTCATCACATAATTAATCACACTTTTAAGAAAACCCCATTGTGACAAAGTTTGGTGACAAAAATGAACTAATTTTCTTTTCTGTCACCTCACGACTATCTAATGCAACCTTTTTTCAAAGTGATAGAATTATTACCTGATGGTAAGCAATCGGCGCTGCCCATGGACACCCAAAATACCAAAGGATATTACGAGTTCGTTGCTGGCCTTTTGCGGTATTGGGGATTTAAAGATTGTGGTTGTTTCACGCTGGTTTTCTATGAAGTCATCAGTCTAGTCGATCCGACCCATTCGTGCCGAAGCATTGCTCTCCCACACTTAACCTTCCACAAATATTAAAATAGGTAATCAGAACTGGGTCGCCGTTTCAAAAATAACCGTGTCAGATAACAAACAGGCTAGTACTTTAATATGGATCTGAATCCAAATGCAGAATATCGTGGTCTATTTCAATTTACGAAACGAATGCCGTCTGGGCAAGAGAATCGGAAATGTGAACTTCAGAAATAGCTGACCTAACTAAAACTAAGTTAAAAAGGTTCTGTTGTTTCGAACTGCAGTATCTTTGGTTGAGAAAAGATCAAGTTTTTGATTTATGTGCCCGCATCGGATAAAATTGTGCGGTTTGGTCAAGTGTCATTTGTTTTAAAAATGTTATTGTTATTGTTTGAGTTGAGGCAAGATAATAAAATGTTTCATTTATCAAGAACCGGTGTTCTTTTTTTATTTTGACCTTGAGGTACTAATATTAAATCTAAGCTATCTTTAAAGAGGTTACGGTTTCCACTTCGGCGTCTTTATTGGCAACCACAAGGCTGGTAGAAAAGCAATGCGAATGGTAAAGAACTTACAAAGTTAAGTTATTTATGAAACATAATTTATCTCAAGTCAGTCTCCATTATCCTTTCATAAGAAAAAATGCTAGAACCTAATTATCTGCTTAGTTAACTAATAAAGAAAATCTTTTAATCAGCACATCGCAAACAGTTCCTACAAAGGAAATCTCAAGCCTGACTTAAAACACAAAGATGAAGACTAGACCAACGCAGAGCCGTTTAAAAGCGATAATGAGCTAACAATAGCCGCGAACTTGTTGCAAGTCTATTAACCGACTAAATAGGGAAGCAATTAGTAGTAAAACGATCGTATTTAGGTAGCGGCCGACCGTGTTTGGTCGAGTAAACAGGTTCCCATTTATGTCCTCACTTCGGCGTTAAGCTGTTTGTTGCAACCGCCGAACATTTATGATTCTGCCATTGAAGTTATTAAGTAGTTTGAATAATATTAGTTAAGTTCATATTATTATATTAGTATGTTGTCTTTAGTATTTGGATTCGATTTATATTTGAGGCCGGTTAAGTATTTTAGAAGCAATGCAGATCAAAAGCATCCAGTTCAAAAATTGAGTCTTTTTTTTACTTGAGCCAATCCTTAGAACACACTTTTTAAAAATAAATCAGTTGCTAAAGTACAGCCATCGTTAAATATCTCTGAATACGGCAGTTAGACGTATCATTCTATTTATTCGAACCATCTGGAAAAGGTTTTTTATCGACCTTTATCTGAAAAATGTTTTTAATGCGAATATCCATTCCATTTTTCACTTCACAAGGATCGCTAACGATGTATCAGTTTTCCATGAAACCACTAAACTTGTTAAACCTCTACTGCCTAACTACGCCAGGTATTCCCCATAGATTGTCGAACATTTTAGTTTAAATATCTTGCCCGAGGAATTGGATAATCGCATTAAAATTTGTAACCCTTTACAAGGAATTTTCAATTTAATCGAATTGTTCCTTTTATTTGAATTCTTTTATCAAACGACAGTGTAGATTAGTTCACACTTATTTATTTTTATACACAGAATTTTTCACTTATTGATAGAATGAAATAAATTTCTCTTCTTTATTGAACACCACAATTTATCTGAATAAAACAAAGTTTATTGAATCAATAATATCGTTATTTTTAGTATAAATGGATTTTGGAATTGTGATAGAAGCGGTCTTGCTTTTTTAAAATAGAACACCACCATTATGGCCGATTGCTAAACTAGGACCGGTCCCTACATTATAAGTCTTGTAATAATCTTCACATTTAGCAGAAAGTTTAGTGATCTAACAACATAAGTGTGATAAACTTCAGGTATCCCGTTTGCTCGTTCACCGACTTATCAGAATAAAAAAAAAACAAAAATATATATGATTTTCTAAGAAATGTAGTCATAAAGTACACCTATTTTAGTATCTAGTCCTTAGATTAGTAACACCTACAAAACACGCATTCCTGAAACAATCCAGTTCCTGGTATTTTGTCTAAGGTCGTCAAGAAATGACGAAACGCCACGCCTTCAATACCGAGGTACTGTCTCTTGGTTTATTTATGTTTAAAATAAACATTAAGTTAAGGTATAGGTACAAATCTTTAGAAATAAGTTTGAATATGATCATATGTTATTTTACTAAATACTAGCTACTCTCGCGCGGTTTCACCCGCTGCTTGGCTCCATTTAATCGAAACGTGATGTGTTATAGCCTATAGCACTCAGGAAATAATTTTGGCAATCCGACTAGAGGTTCCAAAGATTACCCCCTACATACAAACTTACAAATTTTACCTCTTTATAATATTAGTATAGATTTCCCTATTTTGTGGTGCCTGTGGTATGGTCCCTGTGCTGGAGAAGTATTCATCCACCAATAGCAACTAACTCTTCCTGCAAATATTCCAAGTTGGGACTAATATCTCTGAATCAGAGAAATCGAACTACAAAGATCTCTACAAAATTGGAATTTCGAACTGCAATCTGCAACCCACCAGTAAAATGCAAACATTTTGGTAGTCTTACTCCGTCAAAGTTTGAATAACGATGTTAAAAACAAATGAAATAAAACTAAATTTACAAATATGATTTATTTTAATCAACAACTGATAATTAACTAATTTATTATTATTTCCAATTTGGCATTCATCTATTTAAAATTGAATACATGACTAAAAATTAATATGTATTTTTATAAATTAGATATTACTTTAGAAGAAACTGCCGTTCTGTAGATGTCTTCAAGAAATTAAAGTCGACTGTTCGTGTACACACGATATTGCGGAAAACCTTCGCAGACAGCTTCGGAGTTCTTTTGCGTTTAGGATCATTGAAATCTACTTTATAGAGGCCAATTTTTTCTCTGAAATAAACATATAGGTTAGTATTGTGGGATTAATATACCTGAATGAATTTGAATATAAAAATAATATTATAAATAAAGAACAAATGAAAATTCAAACACCTCCGTAGGTACAATTAAATAAAATACTATGGCGTTTCATCCAATGAAATTACACTAATTCAAACTTGCTTTTTAAATAAAAATCAACAAAATCTTACCTGTAACCGTCGTCCCATTCAAAATTGTCCATTAGGCTCCAATCGAAGTAACCTTTTACATTACTGCCGTCCTCGTGTATAGCTAGGAGCAATTCATACAGGTATTCATTGAATTACGAAACTCGATCATAATCGTCGACTTGTCCCTTATCACTTACACCGTTTTCCGTAACAATGATTGGTATTTCATTGCCATATTTCTCTGTAATCCATTTAATCATTTTCCTGATACCTGGTGCGTATACCTGTTCAACATTGTCCAAAAGTTTATTTTTACTTATGACTAATTTCTTAAATCTCATCTAAAATCTACTGTGATGACTAAATTAAACTGAAAGATAGAATGTATATGCTTCTAAACAAATTCTCTTAGAACAACCGAGTAACTTGGTTTCGAATATGCAATTATATATTTATTGAAACCTTCGTGTGTCGTATAATAAATATCTCACAAATCAAAATCATCATCAAAATCATCGATGCTCAAGCAAACATTAATTAGTTGTACCAATCATCTGGTTGACGTAATATTGGGTTTTGCTTAAACCACCATGTAGCAGAAAAGTTTGCATACTTCTGGTCTGTCTTCAAATGAACTTGCGGATCCCCTAATGTTCAGTCATTGTCATCGCCTGGCATTGGGATTTTTGCGTGATCGAGCCTCCAGAAACCTCACTCACACAGCAACCACAATGAAATATTTCATGAACACAGAAAATCGGAGTAGAGTAAAATATGTTACTCTATGCCGATTTTCTGTGACGCCGTGGTATTGCTCTAGTCTAGCCGACCTATTCGTGCTGAAGCATGGCATTCCCACACTTACAAATACGTAGTAATAAGTTTCTGCGAATAACTTTCACATTATAATTTAAACTTTCTTCTGATGTATTCCAATGCAGTTCTAAAGCAATATAACTTGGGGGAGTCTAACATTTTACGCAACTAATTTAAAAGTAGTATCCATACAAAGTTGATAGATCTTCGGTTTTATTTGTCTTGCAAAGGAAAAGATTTTTTATACGAAACGAATACTGTTGTTGCTGAAGCTATTGAGAGGAAAATATACCTACAAAATTTAAAAATTGTTGATGTTTTAACGGTACAAAAATTTGCTTACTTACAGATAGCCAAGATACTCCTGGAACAGACCATGACAAATCTTGTTCCACTTTCACACCAGTATCATGATCGTAAGATGGTATTTGCCATTTGTCGTCAATAGAGGGTTGGCTTATCAAATAAGTGGTGTAGTGGTTAAGGCTGAAGAAATGGGAACTTCCTTTTAAAGCTTTAATCTGTAACAGAAGACATTAGGACTATTCATAAATCTATTTGAGGACTAGGTGATGGTTAAACAAAATATTTTCACTGCCTCTTCTCTTTCAAAGGGAGGTTGGAATCGATAGAGAAAGTGCATTGTACTTGAGTGTTCTTATCGATCAAATCGCAGTTAAATCTTGTCGATAAAAGTTCAAAAGATCAAAGTATCTCATCGTCTTATGAATCTATACAAACCACTTTTGATGATGATTGCCCGATAGTAATTCTAACGTTTTAAAGTAAAACAAATAATAATCATTCAATAACTATACGTTAATGGATGACATTATTTCAAATGTTTCTTCGGGCAAAATTGTATTATAACCCACCTATTTTACATTTGATTTACTTTTATATTTTCTAACTATACCAAACTTAGACAAGGCTATATTTTCCTTCCATTAGTTAAGCTACTTACCTATCGACTAGTAGATAAATTTCAACAAAATATTGCATAAGCTCTCGTCCGACCTTGCCCTCATTGGCTACGAGTGTTGCAGTAGACAAGCGATAATATCGAAAACGGGAGTGTCTGATTGTATCCGATAAAATCAAATACGTATTCACTTGAAAGTTGTTTTGTATTTCACATTGGGACCAGAAATAAATCTTTGACACTTGTAATGAAATGGAAATGTAATGGATACTGCTTGAATGGGGATTTGAAATCATAATACATTTTAATAGGGATATTTTATATTATTAGAAATGGAACATTATCACATTTGTTTGGAGAAATAAAATACAGTTACAAACCTGTTCATAAGTAAAGAATGGCAGACGAGACCTTAGGAATCCTTCTTCACGACTGGCATTGTCAATTCTCTCTCGGACTCATTTTGGATAATCGCCAACTTTTGAAAATATTGGATGAGCTAACATTCCCACCTTACAAAGCAAAATTGAAATGAATTTTAATAAACATTGCCTGTGAATTGTTTGGAACATGTAGAAAGATAAAACTTCTATCTCCTCTTATCTAATCAGTAGTCTTAGTCTTAGTCTTAGTCTTATCCACCCACTAGCTTCCTTTGTGGCCTGTAGCGCTTATATGTATTTTTTTTCTAGGCGTAATCAAGTATCCTATCTATTATAGAACTAGTTCAATTAGTGCGTTTTTCATCTAGTTTGTTTGTCTCAGATTTGTTAATATAATTAGGTGTTCAATCCTTACATGCATTTCTAGATGTCGCTCAGCAGCTTCGTGGTCTTCTGGCCTCTGGTGATGTTTTGGCATACTCCAATTACAATCTAAAGGTAAAGCAATTTTGCCTATAACCGAAAAATATTTTTTTACACAGTAAATGACAAAACGTCAAAAAATTGATACAAAAATAATTGCACTATTTATTTAAAATACTTTAAAAATACCCAACCTATTTTTAGCTTTTTGCTCACCGTAAAATTCTTTTTTATACATGCGGTACACACGAGCATGTGCTAAGAGAATATTATGAGTACAAAGATACAATGCCACCCCAGGTAATTTTAGGCCCGGTATAGTTGACCCACCATAAGACTGCAACAAAAAGTATTCAATATAATATGTATAAAAAGTACGAAAAATAACTGAAAATAATTAAGAAAGTTTGAAAAGAATATAAAAATAGAATCTAAGGAGGAGTCATCCGCTTATAGACTTAAAAAAAAACTGATTGTGTTATAATGAAAAACAAAACAAAAAAACTGACCTTTTAGAACGCGACTATAATCGCTCAGACAAACAACATTTTTGAAAACAGAAAGAATAATTTCCAAATCTTTCTTAAAAGTCATACCTATGGTACGTATTAGCCTACTTACGCTAACACAATGCTGATGAGGTTCATTCAGAGTCAACCAGTACTTTACTAGGTCACCAAAAAGTCGGAATGATGTTCGCGCGTAATCTTCAAAGTAATCCACTAAAATAGGATTGCTCCAACCACCCAAGTCCACAAATATAGTTGGCAGGTCCCAGTGGTATAAAGTGACTACTGGAGTTACGTTGGCTTTAATCAGTTCTTTGAAAAGCGTTCTGTAGTATAAAACTCCTTCTTTGTTTATATTGTTGTCAGTCCCGTCTGGTAGGAGACTGTAAAAAATGCTATCGTTTTCATACTTAATTTAAAGTATACATTATTAATGTCGGCTTTACAAGTTACAATTACATGTGTCAAAATAGATAAATAAGTACGCTCAATAATAATTATTATATTTTAGGATAATAGCAATATCAGTTTCTAAAGTATGAGGTATTTAGTTCAATATTTAGATATGCCATTAAAATATTTCCTTAAAGTGTTTAAGAAACAATTATTTATGCTATACGCCTATTGAATCTGATAAGAATACTTGCTAATCGAGACAATAACATTTTAATCTTTGAATACAAAATCAAATACAAACCGTGGCCAAGAAAGTGAAGTACGATAGTATCCAACGCCAAGTTTTTTTATCATTTCAATATCTTCCATATATTTGTGATATGAATCTGTTGCAATATCAGCATTCGAACCGTCTTTCGTATATTCTGGATTTTCGTGAAGATATTTATCCCAAATACTTTCACCTTTTCCTTAAAACAATCGTTTAGTTACATTTCTTTTTTATTTATTTAATTAATTCATATTCTTTGTAGACAAAGAATGTATTTCCCATAAGAAGTATTTAAGTATCTCATACTAAACTTTATACCTATAATAAAATTATAATAACTCCATACAGTAACTTATATTATATTACTAATGCTAGTTGTTTATCTTATCTTAAACACGATTAGTAATACTTAATTATAATCTCACATGCTTAATATTCGTTGCGCCTAGCTAGTCAAACAATTGACGCAAAGTAATGAAATAGATTATTATTGCTTTAAATAAAAACAAAAACATTATTCAATTCATATTTTTTAGTCAAAAAATTATTATTAATTGTTTTGTTTTAGCCAACAAAAATTTTATCTGCAACTTTTGATTGGAATGAATTGGTCAGGACACCTAATTAAATACAAAGGTAATAGACTGAGTATGGTTGGGAGTAACGGTGTAGTTTTCGAAAAAAGCCAAGTCAAAATCACAGGGTTAAGGTTAAGGACGCAAAAAGCCGAGAAATAACTATGTTAGAAAAACAAATTGCAAATAACCAGCATCGACTGAATTCAAGATGCATGATAATGAGATTTACAATTTTCTGTATTAAGTATTTTCAATTTTAATATCAAAGATTAGTTATTATATTGCTTCTCGAAATACACGATATGACATCTGAATACATAATTTCAAAAATGGAACAACGTAAGTACGTTGTTTGTTGATAACAATCGAAGATGGCAATATAACCAATGGAAGCATACTATACTTCCAATATGCATATTGCTTCCAACCACCGGTGACTTATAGATCTAGAAGTTACTAAGGGAAGCCAATGTATCCAGTAGACGACTTCTGGATGATGAGAAAATAGCGTCAGTAGTGGACAAATCGGCAGACTGACACATAAAGTTGAACTTTTTGATATTAATATGTTTTTGACGTTTAAAAGTGATAGACACTTTTAGTGTTCTATTTGACTTTTTGATGACAAGATGCATTATGTAAGGACTGCCCACAAAGGATACTTTCTTAATACAGCTACATGATTATGCAAATTAAAGGAGATGATATTTTCGTTTTTGGTTTTATAGGGTCCTCCTATCTGCGATAACATCGCTATACGAGATACACGACCAGCTCACACGTTCTCTTTCCTAAAATTTAACCAATAATCACTACGCTTGTTTAAGGCGATTACATTCATACTCATAATTAAAATTCTTAGTCAGTGCTTCCTCATGATATTTTCCTTCATTGTTGGTCAGAGGAGACGAAAAGAACTTGGAAAAAGTAGCATTGGTAAAAAGCTAGGCTTAACGGTCTTTTTGGAAGCGGGCACCTAATCCTTCGAGCCCTTACGACTTGCAAATGTATTAACACATTATTCGTATATTAAGAAGTCATTGACTCACCTCCTTCATTCCAAGCGCCTTCTATCTGAAATGCTAATGTTGATACTCCAAATGCGAAATCATCGGGAAAATAATATATTTTCTTTTTATGGTCTATTTCTACATATCTCGCACTGGCTATCTGCATCACACTAGGGTGAAAATTTTATTAGTCGAAAGAAGTATTATGTAAAAATTATATTATTTCTAATAACATTTAAAAATTAAATGAGGTTTTGATACAAGTATGAATAATAGATCGCTATTACGATGTATCAAAATGACAAATTTTGACGAATTGAAATGCTTTAGCCACATACTTTAAAATTGCTAAGATCACTCCTATGAACATGACTTCATTTGACTGTAGCTTGTAAACTAAAACCAAATTTAAAAGTTTACTTCAGTAAGAAAATAAAAACAATTATGTTTGTAATTAACCAAAAATATCGCTAATTTATGTAAACTTTTTTTCTTCCATTCAGGGACCTTTAAATTCAATACGCCAAAGAAAATCAAATAATAATAAAATCTTAAACACTTTGCTTCAACCACATATTACTTTTTGCTTTCTCTTACATTTTATACAATAAAATGTAAGCAAATTATTTTATTTATTGTATAAAACGTAAGTCGTGGATAAAATGAATGTATGTGTCGTAGTGGCCCGAAGGTTAAGGAGCCCGCTTCTCATGCATGAGGGTGTGGGTTCGAAACCTGGCAAGTACCAATGTGACTTTTTCCGAGTTATATGTACTTTCTATGATTATTTAGACACCACTGACATACGGTGAAGGTAAACATCGTGAGGAAACTTGGACTTATAATTTCTAATTACAAGTTTGAAATCGCCAACCCGCATTGAGCAAGCGTGGTGATCAATGCTCTAACCTTCTCCGTATGAGAAGAGGCCTTTGCTCAGCAGTGGGCACTTATAGGCTGATGATGATGATGATGACATTTTATTGTATAGTCAATCGTGATAGTGTTGTAAAAAGTGCAGTCATATTGAAGGTTTTTGCCCAACCGAACGTATCATAATATATTTACTATGATAATACTATATACAGTATTTGACTTATACTGTATATTTGACTTACTCAAGTAGCAACCAATTTTATATTTAATTCATAAATTTTCTGTAATACTTTAAATAATATCACGTTCATTTGTGAATATTTTAATGTTGATATGTAGGTACTTATAAAAACATGCTAAAATATCTATAGATATAATTTATTGTATCCGAAAAATTATATTTAATTGTGGTCGTATTCATAGTTAACATTTTTAGACCTGATTGTACACGATTGTTAATTCTCAAATAATATATGTGATAATACTTGTAAAATAAGAAAATTATAATTCTCATGTATACCTAGATAAATATTATAATACTATGTAAATCTGATATTTGTTAAATTGATATTCAACACGTGGGAAAGATTACAGGAGCCGAAATACTCGCAAAATCCTCAAATCTCTAACAAGGCTACGAATCCTGTATTGCAGATGTCCAAGAGCGGCGCTTATTCATATTTAACATCTCTGCTGCTGTGTTCTAGTGAAGTGTGGAAGAGACCGGATCGATACGACTGCCTCATAGAAAACCTTCGTGAAACAACCACAGCGTTGTGTTTCACCGTGTGAGTGAAGTTACCGGAGGCCAAATCCTTCCCCTAACAAATCCCTAATACCCAAAAGGTCACACGCACTCGTAACTCCTCAGGTTGTTGCGGGTGTCCATGGGCGGCGATGATTGCTTACCATCAGGTAATTCGTCGGCTCTTTTGCCGACCTATCACATAAAAAAGCGTTTCAAGGAAGTATTTGGAGTTAAATAAAACAAATCAAACTTGGGTGGCTTACATTTAATTCATAAATAAAACTATAACTAGACTCATAAATTAATGCAATTGGTTCGGGATCTATTCAAGCAATCTATTAAATTCTGACGGCGGTTTTATATAGTCGAAGTCAATGAGTCGCGTGCGCACGATGTTGGCGAAATTGTGGGCAGAAAGCTTTGGTGTCCTCGTTTTCAATGGGCTGTCGAAATCAACTTTGAACAAGCCGAATTTCGTCCTGAAAAATACGATTAAATTTTTTTTTTAACCAAGAATTTAGATTAATTTTTCAATTATAAAATAATATTATTTATTTTGTCTTTGACGTTATATAAATCAGAATAAGAGGTATTGTCAAGCGAAATAACTAATGTGCGAAGTACATATTATTTGTGTAGTTTACAAAAACTAATACAAAGACTTGACTTGTCAAATATAAAACAAAAAGTTAAATTTATTAGGACGTAATGCGTCATTATAAAATGTGATGCAATGAATATTATAGTCTCGTTTCTAAGGCCTCATTTGCGACGTTCTTCGGGTGTCTGTCATACATTGCTTGTAATATTTGTGTTTGCTCTGGCGATGGCATGTTCTTTTACTGCAATGTATGGCGAGCTCAAGACGGCGTGTAAATGTCGTAGTAAGTATAATAAAAATGATTATGTTCTTAACGTTTGGAGTTCGATCCTTCATTGGATCAAAGAATAATATAAAAAAAAAAATGTGTGGCCCAGAGGCTGGAGCGCCCCTTCTCATGCATGGTGGTTCGAAACCTTGTAAGGACCAATGTGACGTTTTCCAAGTTATATGTACTTTCTATGATTAATTAGACGATACTGACAAATGGTGAAAGAAAACATCGTGAGGAAACCTGAACTGTTTGAAATCGCCAATCCGCCTTGAGCAATCGTGGTGATTTATGCTCAAACCTTCTTCTTGTGGGAAGAGGTGAATTCGTTAAAAACAACTATTAACGCGAATTAACTGAGAAAAACTCTACTAGTTTCAAGTCTCAATGGGATTCTTCTCCATGACCTGCGTGTGCGTCGCGTTGATATCGCGCAAATAAGATATTCTATTTTATAATATAATTATATCCTTCGAAATATTTAGACAAACCTGATAGTTTTTTTTTCGTAACTAAAAACAGTCTGTTTTATTACGGTAACGCTCAATTAATACATATTATTAAATTAGGAATTGTAACTTACGTATAGCCGTCATTCCATTCGAAATCATCCATGAGAGTCCAGCTAAAGTACCCTTTAACATTACAACCATCTTCATTAATAGCTATCAGGACTTGATTTAGATACTCGTTGTAATATGAGACCCTTTCGTAATCTTCTGTTTGTCCCTTATCACTCATTCCATTCTCAGTTATAATGATTGGGATTTTTTTCAATACATTGTATTTATTGTGGATCCAATTAATCAGTTTTCGGAATCCAGGAGGATTTACCTGTGGAAGATACGAAATATGATTTAGTACCGAAGTTTTTGGAAGTTTTTGGATTTTTCTGTGTTCCTTTTATATACCAAGCAATCGATGCTCGTCATTGGGCAACTGCAACACCTTGTGTTTGAATTTTGAGTTTTGGGGATTTGGGGATTACAGATGGGGAAAATATTGGGATCATGTGACTGTTGTTTAAATGATTATACTCGTATAAAAACTGTAACCCAACTACGACAAAAACCGACGCTGAAAAAGTATAAAACAAGATTTTCAGAATACTTTCAGAATATTACATTTACTTACCAAACCTGCACTTTGATAACGTGTGACTACGCCTATCAGTATTCTGAAAATCTTGTATTATATATTTTTTCAGCGTCGGGTTTTGTCGTAGTTGGGTTTTAGTTTTTATACTTTTTATTATTTGAATCCCGTTACAAAATAAATCAGACGATACTATTTGAGGAGAAGAAAACCTAGATAATGTTCGTTTCCCTCTGTTGATTTAATGCAGGAATGTAAATAACGAGACACCTACTGTGAGCCAATCAGCACCAGGTCTAGGCCATGATAGATTTTGGTCCATTCTGACTCCAGTATCATGGTCCAGAGAAGGAACATCCCAATCCGGCTCCATTGATGAGGGACTCATTAAAAATGTTGTGTAGTGATTGAGACCAAAGAAATCTGCGCTGCCCCGAAGCATCTTGATCTGAAAAGAATTCTGTACTATAGATAATTGTATTTAAGTATTTGAATTTGTTTGTGAAAAGTTGTTATTCGCACATTTGTACAAATGTATTTAGGTACACAATGAGTCGACTCTATAGATATTGTCAGGTAATCATTGTATTACATGTATTATAAAGTGAACCTAGGTTCAAGTTTGATTCAGTCTTCAATTTGAAATATAAATTGTCTGGTCTTATTTGGACTAGGCTAGAACTGGCTAGAACTTAGCTATTTGATAAATATAATGATGCAATTAAGTTCAGCATTTCATTGACAGTGTATTATTAAATGGTATAGTCGATCTTCAAATTGGTAATTATAAATTGTAAGTCATAATTAAAGTACACCAACCTCTTCATCAGAGAAATATGGAAGACGTGACCTTGAAAAACCTTGAAGACTACTCATATTGTTCACTCGTTCACGAACAAAACTGGGGTAGTCGCCGAAATCCGAGAATATAGGGTGTGCATATATCCCCAGCTGATAAAATAATAAATAAACAATTAAAATCAGTTGTTACAAAATTAATACGCAGTCAATTCGAGTTCAAGAAACTCGACTTATCAAAGGGTGTTGAACAAAACCAATTAATTATTTTATTTTTGTCTTCATCGAACCTTATTAGCGAAATTGGTTTTGTCTGATAAATAAAATGATGTGAGTCACACATTTTGATCCAAATACAATACACATGCATCCAACGTACTTATTCTTTAATACAAGCGTTTGCCAATAATTTTCGCACCAGAAATGTGTCCTTCAAACTTTCTTCTTCTCCCTAAGACTCCATCAAAGTCGGCTCAACAGTTTAATAAAGTTGTAACAAAAACATCTAAGTACTTTTACAAAAGTTTAATTCTTACGTTTAATCAGTCAATAGACAGTTGGAAGTCAATACTGGTTCTATTTTTTAACGAACAGACGGTTCACTTTATGGTTTACACCCACAACACCAGAGAGGTGCAAGTGCGTAATCGTGCTTTAGTTAGAATTGTTATGTATTCCTTCAGTATTCGGCAAAAAAGTTTTAATGCGCTGTGTCAGTTTTCTAAATAGGCATGATATCAATAGTATGCCATGCCCAGAAATCGTTCTCCCACACTTATGAAAATGTTTATATTGTATTTGTCACTTATCATTTGAATGAAGCCAATTTAATTAGAATTCATATATATATTTATTTGGGTTTCATGGAGGACTGGGGGCGCTGTTGTGCCATTGTTGACATCGACTCTGTATAAATTTGCAAATAAAAATATAAATAACGATTGTTATGCATCAAAAGTTGTGTAGTTCTGTCAAGTGTAGTGCAATACATCAAGTCAACTGTTATCTAACTGAAAATCTACGGATTCAGAACATAAACTTGAGAAATAACACCAAAGGATCGACACAATAAAAAACGGCACTACGCACATCCTGTAAGTTAATTCGAACAACAGTGAAGCCAGAAGGTCAGTCCAAGTTTGTTATCAAGTGCAAGAATCAGCAAAAAGCAGTATTTGCGAATTTTCCAAAAATAACCTAAATTGAATCAAAATCTGCAAACTCACAAAGCGCAAAACTGATAACAGCGCCATCTGTGACCGAGTAGCTGAACTTTGTGATCCAAATCAATCATAACATTGCTTTTACTGCTGACATCACTACTCACCGCTAGAGGGCATTAAAATTAAATAAAAATAATGGAAGAAGTATTGAAAACGCTACTCAATATACAAAAAGATATAGCAGAACAGAAGCAAGTTATGAAAGATATGGAAGAAAACATTAAGGAAGCTATAAATAAAAACATCGATGAAAAATTTGACCGCATTGAAACAAAAACAATAGAGCTAGAGAAAAAAATAGAAGAACAACAAAAAACTATCCAATTTTTGGACAAGCAAGTGAGAAGGAAAAATATAGTTTTCTTTGGTGTTCCAGAATCAGAAATAAATTACGAAAGCCTACTTAACTATATTCTAGACATCATTAACAAAAAAATGAATATAGTTTGCCCAAAATGGGAAATTGAAGCAGTGATTCGGCTAGGGAAAAATAAAGACAAGATAAGACCGGTCATAGTCACAACCACAACAGTAAGTAGAAAACTACAACTTTTAAAAAATAAGAAAACTTTGGAAAATACTGGCATTTACATAAAAGAGGATTTTTCACCAGCGGTTCTACAAAAACGCAGAGAGCTACAGGATGAGCTCCAAAAAAAAACGTTCATCAGGAGAAAAAGTAATGCTTCGTTATGATAAAATAGTCAAGATAAAATCTAAAGTACATCGAAATGACTTTTTCAAGAAAACCTCATCAAGTAAAATTTTACAAATGGAGTCTCCCGAAAATACAATCAGCTTTAAGACATCAAACAATGAGGATGAAACTGTCGTACCCAGAGAGATCAATGCTAGCAAAAGATTTTTATCGGAGTCTCCTGAAATGAGGAGTAATGAAAATCCTTCACTTAATGTAGAACAGACGAAACAAGTACCCAAGAGAAATAAATCTCAAAATATAACTAGCTTCTTACGTCCTAAACCCACAACAAGCAAAGATAATGAAGAAGTACCAAAAAACTAAGCCACACCCCTCTCTCTCCACCTCTCCCAACACGGCCGGTCCCCGTGGGAGATGTAGACCGAAACCCTATAGAGAAAATAACAAAAGGCAGAAATTACGAGAACAACCACCTTTATGTAGCAACATATAATGTTAAAACGCTATCTTCTTATTCTCACCTTTCAGAACTGAAGGAAGCCCTGAAAAATGTGAAATACGACGTCATAGGTTTAGCAGAAACCAGACGACTCGGTAACTCAATAGAAGAACATGAAAACTTCATTTTGTATTATATGGGACAAACACCGGGATTATATGGAGTAGGATTTATTGTCAACAAGCGTCATAAGAGCAACATTATATCATTTAAAGGATTATCAGAACGGGTGGCTCTGCTCGAACTAATTATCAATAACATGGAAATAACCATAATACAATGTTACGCTCCAACATCAATAGCAAGTGATGAAGACATTGAACTGTTTTATTTAACTGTAAATAATGCATTAAAACTGTCACGAAGAAATGTAATAATAATTGGCGATTTCAACGCTAAAATTGGCCAACCCAAAAAAGAAGAAAATATGATAATGAAAGGTCATGGTTATGGAATTAGAAACAACAGAGGCACCAGGTTTATTCAATTTGCACGGGAAAACAATTTCTCAATTGTTAACACATTCTTTAAAAAGAAAAACAGTCAAAGATGGACCTGGAAGTCACCGGATGGTAATGTAAAAAACGAAGTAGATTACATACTAACAAACTTCCCAAAATATGTTCACAACCAAGAAGTGATCAACATACAATACCCCAGCGATCACAGACTAGTAAGAGCGACTTTCAACCTACAATATTTGAAAAAAAGTAGAAAATCCTACGGAAACAACACAAATAGAACATTAAAAAACGAATCAGCGGTTAAAATATACAAAGAATCAGTTCATATCAATTTGGAAAGCAGTATTACCTGGCAACAAAGCTATACCGTGCAAGATCTTCATGATAAAATTATTTCCGCTATAGAAAACAGTCTCCATAAAGCACACAACTCTTCAAAACAAACCAACATGCCCTCAGTTTTATCAGAAAAAACAATAAAGTTAATGGCAAGGCGGCACTTTCTCCAAAAAACTAAACCAAAAACTAGAAGTATGAAAAACGAGCTTAAAGCTCTCTATAAACTCATAAGCAAATACATCCGACATGACTATAACATACACCGCAAGAAGACCATTGAAAAACATGTACTAAAGTCTGGAAGTTTAAAGAGAGCCCATAAAGAACTAAGAGAACATAAAACTTGGATAGAAGGACTTAAAGCCTCGAATAAAACTACATGTAATAGAAATGAAATACTTCAAGTTGCAACTAAATTCTATAAAACTCTGTATAGCTGCGAATATAGTGGAGAGCCAGCTTCAGTTTCAGCTTCGACAATATCAACAAGAACATCATCTGATATCGTAGACATAGAGGAGTCTGAAGTATTAAAGGGAATAATAAGGTTAAAATCTGAAAAAAGCCCAGGTCCTGATAAAATACCCAACGAAGCTCGAAAGCTAGGTGCTTTCTGTCTAGTAAGCCCTCTAACACTGCTTTTTAACCTCGTTCTACAAACAGCGACTACGCCAAAACAATGGACTGAGTCGGAAATAATTTTATTGTATAAAAAAGGAGACCCAAAAGATATAAACAACTACCGACCTATAAGCCTACTGTCTTCAATGTACAAACTATTTTCATCAATTCTAGAAAAACGAATCAGAGAAACTATAGAGACGAAACAGCCAATAGAACAGGCGGGATTTAGAAAAGGATTTTCTACTGTAGATCATATCCACTCTATTGAAATGATAATAGATAAATATCAAGAGTTTCATCGGCCGCTCTACATTGGATTTGTTGATTACAGAAAAGCGTTTGATACTTTGGATCACCAGTCAATATGGGAGGCTCTACAATCGCAAAATGTTGAAACAGGTTATTTGAAGGTATTACAATATTTGTACAAAAACTGTAACAGTAGAATAAAACTAGAGACAACTGGGCCTTCAATACCCATAAAAAAAGGAGTAAGACAGGGCGATCCCATCTCTCCAACTATATTCATAGCAGTATTACAACGAGTCATTGGACAACTACAATGGGAAAGAGTGGGTCTAAATATAAACAATAAATATATAAGTCATCTAAGATTTGCCGACGATATTGTGTTGCTGTCTGAGAGTAGGATGGAGCTGCAGTCGATGCTAACTGCTCTAAACGCCGCAAGTAAACAGGTAGGGCTAGAAATCAATCTTAGCAAAACCAATGTTATGACAAACTACTCAAAATCTCCTGTATACTTAAACGGTGAAGCACTAGAGTATGTCGATAACTATATATACTTGGGCAAACAATTATCTTTTCAAAAGCAAAGAAATGAACATGAAATAGAAAGGAGAGTAACAAATGCATGGAAAAAATTTTGGAGCTTGAAAGAAATTATGAAAAGTGACATGCCAATGAAAATAAAACAAAAAGTTATGGATACCTGCATATTACCATCATTAACATACGCTAGCCAGACTTGGAAGTTTACACAAAAAGCAAAAGCGAAAATCAGGACGTGCCAAAGAGGAATGGAAAGGAGTATGATGAATATTAGAAAAGTTCAAAAAGTACCTCATAAATTAATCAGGAAAAAGACAAACGTCACGGACGCTCTGATTCACAGCAAAAAACTTAAGTGGCGTTGGGCTGGTCACATAGCTAGACTGACAGATAACCGATGGTCAGCCAGGTTAACTTCCTGGAAAGGCCCGTCGGGCACCAGAAAGAGGGGTAGACCAGCTGCCAGGTGGACTGACGATATTATACAAGCGGCCGGCAAACAGTGGATGGAGACGGCGAAGAACAGGGATAAATGGAAATCTCTAGAGGAGGCCTTCACCTTCGAGAACGAGGGGTTCTTACATAAATAGTAAATTTTATAAAATTGTTATGTTTAAAATTATAGATTAGGAATAGCTCGATAAAAATTAGAAGTAAGTTTATTTTTTGTATTTTTTGTAAGAAATATAAGGCTTTTTTATTTTATTTATTATTATTATTTATTATATATATTTATGACTCACATGCATTTGTAGATAATTTTCTGCTGCTTCAACGTCTTCGGGTTTATGGGGATCTTTGGGGTCAGCCCAAAACGCGTCAAGAGTTATAGCTACCTTCCCTGAAACACAACTTCTAATTAAACATCATGCCATAATTTTCTTGACAACCCATAAACAGCTCAAGGTGTTCCATCAAAGTAATGGCAAACATTTTGCCAGACAGTTAATTAAAAGCAACAATGTTTTCAAATTAATACGATTAATTACAAGACAAGATTGCATTGTGGTTGATTAAGGATTAGACGTTGCTTGTAAAACATTATTCAAACGGATTATTATTATAGATTAACACAAAACAATGCGACAATTACAAAGAAAGTGAATGGTGATGTGAGAAAGTCTTTACAAATTAATCTGTGTACCTTTCTGATAAGGTTTAAATTCCCTTTCGTATAAACGGTAAGCCCTAGCGTGGGCTAATAAGATGTAGTGACTGCACAAGTACTCGCCGATTCCGTGTGACTTTAGTGCTGGTACAAAGTAATCTCGACCATAACCCTGAGACAAAAAGATTGAAATTAATATATAGTATGTCGTAAATAGTACTATTCTCTCAAGGTCATACATAATATATATTCTCAGATTTCACAATTTATGGACTTACGTGTCACGTGTGACTTAACGAGTTCAAATCTTTTTTTTTTTGTGTGCTAGTAATTATGAAGGGTTTTTTTATTTCATGATATTTGGCCAAAGCCTTATAAGCGATAAATATATTTGGCTTTCGTCTAAGAAGTACAACTTAGAATCGGTTGAATAAACTTTAAATAGGTTTATTGGCATAGAAACGTATCTTATATTATTTTAGAATAGAACAGATAATGACGCGGAGAAGATAAAGCTATTAAATTATATTGACAAGATTAATCCAGTGCAGTTTTATGTTTATTCAGAGTTTAGGAACAAGATAAATAAAATAATGATAAAAGATGGTCTAGTCCTTTGCTAAGGAAAGACAATTTATTTATTCAATTGAAAGTACTTATTTAGATTTAGATTATCATATTATTATTGACTTTTCGTTTTTGATATCCAAAAATAAAAATAATCTGGTCAAACACGACTTTTTAACTTTTTCTATAAAGTATAATATCAAAGCGATTCGTCCTTATTACAATGACAATAAATATTATTATTGTAATCGAGCTCTATTTTAAAATATGCTCATAATAAATTTTGCATAAAACATGTTTTTACATTATGAAATAAACATATAAAGATCCCAAACGTCTGTTAACGGACGATTTGAGTGCGATGCCGAACTTTTGAAGATTAAAGTTTTGGAGATTTCGGGATTGGGGGAGAGGAAGGATTGGATCTCCGGTCACCTTATCATACGGCAAAACAAAATGCTGTGGTAGTGTCACGCTGATCGAGGCAATCCATTCGTGCCGAAGCATGGATTATTTTGTCCATTCGTGGCATGATTTTCATGCACTTATTTTTAACTTTAATAATGTTACTTACATTATAACAATGCTGATGAGGTTCGTTTATAGTTGTCCACATTTTTACTAAATCTCCATACAGATTGAATGCAACCCTTGCGTAGTCCTCAAAGAAATCAACTATAGCGGGGTTACTCCAGCCGCCGAGGTCCATGAGTGGCGTTGGCATGTCCCAATGGAAAAGTGTAACAACAGGAGTGATGTTAACTTTTAGGAGTTCTTTGAACAACGTACGGTAATACTTTGCACCGTCATAGCTTATGTTGTTGTCCGTACCGTTAGGGAGAATTCTGAAACAAAGGCGACGAAGAAGAGTTTTCTAATTAACATTTCACTTTGTCTTTTTTGCTAATTTAACGTTAAACAGAATTCTAAATTAACAGGAATGTTGTAGTTCAAATCAAAGTCAACAGTAGAAGAAGGAACGGGGGTGTTATAGTCAGCGAGAGTCTGACACTTCCTCCGGCCCGAATCTGGGTAGGAGAAGTCATTTGATAATTTTCTTTCCTTTCACAAAAAAACACTACGTTGCTGATTTTTAGTCAAATAAAAAAGCATTTCCAATCAACCATTAGTAAGAAATAAATACATATTATGTATGTGTATATTATTTATTCAAAGGATAAACACGCAAGAACAAAGATAAACAATTTTTACAGTCAATATTATTGTTGATAAAGGTTAATACAGTGATAAAGAAACCACAGTTTGTGGTGTTTTTAATAAAAACTCATTTGTTTTTCTTGTATTGAACAATGTAACATTTTTCTGGTCTCATCTTTGTTCATTTTGCACTTAGATTATTTACGTGTGTACAATTGAATTAAAATATTTTTAGACTAAAATTGCAATTAATTAATTAGAGGAATCCGGTGAAACATTAACATAGCCTAACATTTTTGTATTTATTAAAAAGAGAGGAAAATTGGAAAAATTCTAACTTATACTAATACTAATTAAAAACAAAACTCGTCGAATCAACAAACAGATGGATACTCTAATGAAAAAAATATATTTGTACTTCTCTCTCTTACTTCGAAACCATTTTAGATTTATTTTCTAAAATACTTAAAAGATTATACAAAATAGAATTAAAATCTTATAAATATGAATTAGAAATTATTATCATCGGCATGTGGGTAACACGAGTTAATTGGCAATCGTATCGAGATAGGATCAAAGAACAAAATCGCTGACGTCATCACGCCCCTACAACTTATCTATTTAAATGCAAATTTCTTAAATAACTTCGCTAAACAAAATCGCATTTACTAACTCTAATAAACATTGTAATTTATTGAGATTTTAAAATCATAATATAAAGAAAAGGCCTTGAGTTTTATTAGCATTAGCTGGATTTTTATTCTAAAGATCAATAAACTAGTAAAATGGATGGAAAAAGATTATATTTAATCTGGATTGATATTACACAGACGATAGTTTTGATGGTTTGTTTGCTTGTTTTATATATGAAACCAAAACTATTGACTTGGAAAAAAATATATTTTATTTTCGGCTATTTTTTACTATATCAGTAACAACCAAAAGGCAGGTTTTTTACCCCGATATATTGACGAGATTAGAACCTTTCTAGAGAGGAATTTATTAAGTTTCTAGTGTACGAAGTCGCAGTATGTTAGCTAGCATTCTATTAAATTAGACAAACAACAATTTGCATAATGATAAACATGAACAGTGGTTGTAAATGGCATTTTGTTTTATTTCAATTATAACATTGGAAGATTGTGAAATTTTATTTTTGGATATTTATTGAAATTAATTCTAAATTTAAGAGTGTTTGTGTTTTGTAATTTTTATGGCATGGGTCATCAATATGGAGTCATATTACCTGATGTATCATGTACCAAAGAAGTACCTATCAAACCCTTCCGAAATTATTGAATATTATAGGAATAATTAATACATTGAATGATGCTAACAAATATTTACCTGGGCCATGAAATAGACAGCCTATAGTGATCGACTCCCATACTTTTGATCATGTCAATATCGTCCATGTATAAGTGATAGGAGTCAGCTGCTACATCACCATTCGAATGATCAGCTGTGTACTCAGGGTGGGCATGAACATATGTATCCCACATGCTTTCTCCTTTTCCTGTAAAGAAGTAGAATTTTAATATACTTATATAGGTACAGGTTTTAAAAAAAAGTTTCTGCCAGTGGGCTTGCCATCAGTACCAGGCCAAAAAGTAGTTTTTTTTTACTGTAGCAGGGAATATCATTACACTGCTTCTCACGCCTAAAGTCAGAAGAGAGAGGGAATGTCAGACTCTTACTGACTAAAAACCACATCGTTCCTACTCCTGCTCGAAGCCGGGGCCGCAGTATCTTATTGCGCTTGACCCGCAATCCTGGCAGGGCCAAAAATCTTATTTTAGACTATAATCTATCTCTGTGGCAAATTTTATTTATATCTGTCCAGTAGTTTTTACATAAAAGATTAAAAAACATGTATCCATCTATGCACACTTCTCTACTTTCGTGTTTATTAGGTATCATTAATATTAATACTATTTGGTTGTTTAGCCTTAATCATATTTATGCGTCTGGTAAAAGACTAAATTTAATCCAGTCTATGGACAGATTAGGATTTTCAACAGAAATTAAATTAAGTATTGTTATGGTTGTCAAAAATCGATCTCAGTCCGATTCTGCTCAACACAATATCTAAAAGAACTGTTACATTTTTTATTAGTATTTTACGAAATATATACGTATTGTTATTATAAATTTGTAATAACATAACCATTATGAGAAACCAAAATAAAGAGGCATTTATAAAAAACCGCACCCCCAACGCCAAAGGTTTTTAAATGCGATGCCAGCCTTTTGGGTTTGTAAGGAATTTGAGAATTACGGATGGGGGTAGGAGACCGCAGGCCTATTCTCAACTCCCCAGGAATAGGATTGGGCTGTCGTTTATCTAACTTATACGACGAAACATAGCGCAAGCGTTATTTCACGCTGGTTTTTTGTGAGGCCGTGGTATCACTCTGGTCATGAAGCATCGTCTGCCTGAAGCATGACTCTTGTATACTTAAAACCAGACTTAAAACTTTTTCCAAGAAAACATAATATTAAATACGCAATGACGTTGACAGCTCTATTCAAAAACATCTAACAATTGACACAATAAAATATTGATACTAAAATTCCTGATAACACTATTTGGAGATACTTATTAATTATTTGTACTGCAATCATTAATAAGTATTTATTTCTACGAAAAGTACATTAGCGAACATCAAACATATTATCAAACAATGGCCTCAATTCCTAGAGCATGATTATCCTGTTATAAGGGTTGAGCGCAATAACTTACATAGGTACCATGGCCCGACTCGTAGCGAGATTTAAAACAGGATCGTTTTTAGACAGTAAGAATATGACTCTCCCTTTCGCTCCACTCAGGGAGAAAAGAGACAGAAAATGACGTTCCTACCAAAAATGTTTAGAAACACTTTCCGATCCAAAAACCTATGTTTTTTTTTGCGGAAGAAAACTCATCTGACATGTGTTCTTGTAGTTTTACTGACTAAAAATCACCCCGTACTTTCTCTGAGATCCGAGTTGGCACTTTTATATTATTACACCCTCTACCCTAGCAAAGCCCTATGCTTAACTTGGATTAATAGGGTCAATTTATACAAAGATGAAAATTGTTAATTGATGTAAAAAATCCTATAATGTAACATAACTCCTTTTGTTTCCTAGATCCTAAGCCTCTAGCTTATGTTTGAGTACTCTAAACCGAGAAACTTATAACCCTCCTTTGCCTTGCCGTAGTCGTTAAAAATAGCGATCGAGACTATTTCTATAGAAAAAAAGGAAATCCAAAATCTGTTGTATAAAAAAATCCAATGTCATTTTTACACTAGGTCCACATTCCTTAACTACGTGAAAAAAAAACAATCGGATGACAACTATTAATAATAATAAAATGATAAATAAAATAATCTTACCCCCTTCGTTCCATCCTCCTTCAATTTGAAATGCGGCCGTCGATACCCCGAATATGAAATCATCTGGGAAGGAGTAATTGCTCACCCTGCGGCCTTCTCCGACACTCCCGCTTGCTACCAACAGCAAGCTAAATATATAAGAAAACAACAAATTTAATAACGCAACTAAGTTATAAAGAATACTAAATTAATTTCTAAAACAGTTAAGTAATTCTTTGAACCCAATGGCTCTTTGTTTAAGTCTTTTTTTACTATAACACAGAAAATGAAATAAAAAAACACTGAAATTCACTGTCTCACGATAATAATAACAATACACACACGAACGTCACAGCACTAGTTAAATGAATATATAAGAAAAAGCAAAAACAAATTCACTTCGTTCTCACCTAAGAATTGCCGAAAGTGCTCGGGCCAGGGCGACTCCACTCGAGCTCCGCATTTTACTAACTAAAACAAGAATCAAAGGTGCTCTACCTACATCGCGACAATCTTAATAATAACCTTTTAACTACGGAATAACCGATAACCTTCATAGCACTTCCTGACACAGGAACTAGTTGCAGCGACATTCATATCAATGTTTTTAAAAAATATGTATAACAGTGACCACGAAGGTATCATTAATTTGCTTCCTGACCAATTTGTTAAAATCTACGTCTCATATACTTACACTAGATACTCTTGCACAGTTTTACCTGCTGCTCGGCTCCTATAGGTCGTAACGTGATGTTTCATAGCATATATTTTTCCTAGATAAATGGGCTATCCAACATAAAAATAATCGTTCAATTCGAACGAGTAGTTCCGGAGACTCAAGCAAACAAAAAAAGCTTCATAATATAATATTATGTTTATTACGTGCCGTGAATTACTTTAAATAAATTCACAACTTTTTGATTAACACATCATTATCACTGAATATTGATTACGTTTAATATTTATGTTAACAACTTTTTAATATTAATAATAAAATGCAGAATAATATGAATAGCTGTACCAATCACTGCAAAGATCAAACAGTGTTGGAATCTGCAATCGTCAAAATCGGCTTCTTGAGGAGAATATTTACGAAATAACTATTAGAATTCTAAAAACATATCGATATCGCATACATATGGCTTTTTAGTTCGATCAAGAAGGTTTTAATCGATTATTCTATGGAATATTAACATTCCACATACCGTTTAGTTCACGGAAAATACATTTTGTTAAATACGATTAAATATTCATTTCCTGCACCATTTACTAAAATAATTATATAAATTAACATATTTATTTCTAAGAACTCGGAAATGATTAAACATCATACATATACAAGTATATTTATACAGATTTTTGGGTATTTAATTATATTATGTGCCTGTTAAATTACATCTAGCTTAGGAAAGTGTTGTTTTTGCCTCTTTGGCCAAAGCGTGGGTCAGAAGGGTCTAGGATATTAGGCCATTTAAGTTTTGCGTTAACTCTTAACAGAGGTACTGGGTCATTCACCTCACCTTCTAGGGAATGTAAGGTAATATAATATCACCTTCCTTGTATATTATTTTTAAAGCGATGAAAATCTTGTGATATTTGCAACAACGGGAGAAAGATGACTCTTGCTGGATAAAACCTTCCTGTATGATTATCTTCTAGCAACTAGCAAAAATGGAATGCATATACCCTTTTCCTTAAATATAACGCGAGGTGTTAGATGTGTATGTTCTCTAGAATTTCATAATTAATATAGGAAGTAACACACATTCTTCCGGGATCTCGAGCATTAGTGTACGTGTATATATTCATACACACTCGTATATATTGTAATGCTTCAAATATACCGTAGAGAACTACGTTCCAGTAAATTATGTGGTTTTACATATCTTTTTATATGTATATAAAATATTCATACGTCATAGTTTACATTTGAATATGTTTTCATTTTCTCAGTCAATAAGGTTTAAGTTGTATTGTTTCCTATTTTAAAATATTTCTAAGTTTATTATTAGCTGTCTTACTGATGTTATAGGTTGAGTCTGAACATTCTATGTTCGTCTTGATCATAAGCGTTAATTCCAATCCAAAACTTCTTATGGAAATCTCGTAGCTGAATGTTATAATTTAACTCCTAAATCACATCATTAGCCTATAAATGCCCACTGCTGAGCAAACGCCTCTTCTCACACGGAGAAGGTTTGAGCATTATTCACCACGCTTGATCAAGGCGTATTGGTGATTTTAAACCTATAATTAAAATTATAAGTCCAGGTTTCCTCACGATGTTTTCCTTAACCGTATGTCAGTGTTGTCTATATAATCATAAAAAGTACATAAAACTCGGAAAAATGTGATGTTCGTTGAAATCAATGTGACATAGGTTCATGCCAGGTTTTGAAACCCCTCCCCCCCTTGCACCCTCATGCATTAGAAGCGATCGCCTTAACCTAGAAATTGACTCCCAACTTTTAAAAAACCTACACGTGCACCTTACTATTTTTAAAAATAAAGTCACTTTATTTAATAATTCCTATACGCCTTTTAGTTACGGCTCGTGTTTTGATTTCCTTTCACGTTTTGATTTTAAATTTTAATATTTATCTTCTTGTTAATGAAATTAATTCAAACGTTTCAAACAGTACCTCATAGAAGTTCAGGAACTGCACTTAAGCAAAGCCGAAATGGGCGACCAAAGGATTAATGGATTCATATTATTATTATGCTATAAATAGGTACTTACGTGCTACTGGAGGAAGATTCCTCGTAGGTATCTCAGGAGTATGTATGTAATGTGTCTTGGAAGCTATCATCATAGATCTTCTAGCAGGAGGTTGATCTGCAGTTGATCCTTAATAAATTATAGAGCGTTTGTGATCGGACGTCTCCTCTGCGGTATATTGCTTTGTGACAGCACATTCAGTGAATTATTAACGGTCCATCGTTTGTTATTCGATCGGTATTCTATTACTAGATTACTAAGATTACTTTATAATTATTAACATTTACATAACGGTATTAGTAACTTATGGGGACACAATTTAGAGTGTAACTATTTACAATATAGTTTTTAGTAGAGTCGGTTTTTTCATGTGTAAATTATTTCGGCAAACGAATAGACTGATGGACTCCTAGATGGTAAGAAATCAATCAAAGAGTGACATTCGTCACTCTTTGATTGATTTCTGCATTGCAGGTCTTTTGAGTTGGAGTTCTAGGCTTTCAGATATTTAGGGACCTGGGAGGGATGGGGGTAAGGGGAAGCATTGGGCCTCCAGTAACCTAATTCTAAATGAAAATCGATGTAGTAAAGGCTGGTAAATCAGACATCATGAACTTGTTTAAAATATAATAATAAGCTTTATGAAGGCAACCGCAGGGGTACGCACTTTCTTAGATTTCAAAACTAAGAGATTCCAGAAAAGATTCAGCGGTATAATATGATTTCAACACTACATTTCATAGATAATCTAGGAAATACAGTGTGTTCTACCAATCTTCGTAGCCTTCTAAGCGTCTTTATAAGGTCATAAAACATACAATACATTATACAGGCTAATTTCCTACATTTTAAATAGTTTTCCGTTTTATGATTCGGGATCAATCGAGGTACAATAGAAGTGGAGAATGAAATGTAATCCTTAACTATCAGTGATAAGGTTAAAATTCTATTAGGTTGGTATAAAGTTGCAGTAATACAGCTACCTCCTTCATTCCACCCTCCTTAAATTTGATATGCGGACAACGACACTCCAAATATGAAGGCATCAGGGAAGGAGTAATTGCTTGCCTTGGATTCCACTTCAAGACTCCCCTCTAGTACTTGATGACTGTAGGAAGTTATTAATGCATTTAACTTTACCGGTATATTATATAGTTATTTCAAATCGAGTAAGTATATGGAATCTTTAAAACAAAAACGATTATTCGGTAAAATTTAAATATCATCGGTATTATTGTAATGTGAAAAATTTTTGTAAGTAATTTTATACAATTGCATTTTTACTGTACTACTACGAGTGCGTTACCGGTTTTTTGGAGATTTTGCAGATTAAGGGGTTATAGCGATATGTGGGAAGGTGAAGGATTGGGCCTCCGGTAACCTCACTCATACAGCGAAAACCAACGCTGTGATTGTTTTTCGCCGGTTATCTATGAGGCCGTTTTATCACTCCGGTCGAGCCGATCCATTCGTGCCGAAGCATAGCTCTGACACATTTAAACTGTCTGATTTCTCCATAGTGAGCATCAGGTGCGTTTAAATATCCATTACGAAAACCTTAATCATACCCTCTTGTTTTCCAAGGTTGCAGCGGTTCCCAATTTCGCCAGGAAATAATTTCTGACGTAGGTACCATATACCTATGTATAATGACTTAGCACTGTATTAGAGTAAGTAATTACAACTGCAAAATTTATAAATTAACATTATACTACTCAATCTTCGAAAAAAAACAAAGATACAAATAATCATCAAAATCCGCTCAGCTAATTGTGAGATAATAAAAACTAAAATAAAATTATATATTACTACTGCTCCTATATGCTGCGAATAGCAAAACAATTCATTTCGTATACTAGTTGCTTTAAAATTTTACTTTATTTTTTAAACCAAATCGTTGACGCATCCACACTTAAGGGTGGGAGAGACATGCTTAATGGGCCGTCTTCCATAAAACCTACAAGTGATGTTAATTACCGAGGTAATCGATGACCTTTTGTAGCAACTAATAGGGTTGAAATTAAACCACGTATATAGTGCTTGGACTGCTGGTTCGTATATTTGAACTATTGAACTACACAGATTTGAACTGGTTTTGCACTGCACTGGTCTGAGATGAACTGTTTAACACTGCACTGGTTTGAACTGGCTTCTGAACTGGGTTTTGAACTGAATTTACAAATAAATTTTACATACTTATATGACTAGTTGTAACGAAACCATAGCTCGTTTTTAATTGCGGCAACGCCATCTAGTTATAAAATTTGAACTAAAATAAAATAAATATGAATATTATGGTTTCGTTACTCTTGTGGTTGGTTATTGTCATCAACATACCGCCCACCAAGGACATTATTGACAGAATGTCCTTATCAATAACAATATTTCTTAACATAAAAATAACAATTTGAACTCAAGTACATTACTTATTATAGATTAGATAAATCAATCGGCTACTGGTAGAATGCACAGCCTGGAAGTGGGTCGTTTGATTGTGGATGATTTTGTTCTCAAAGTAACGACTCGAGTTAGGTTATCTCTTCCAGGATGCTTTTCTATAATTCTACCCAATAACCAACGACTTGGTGGCAAATCATCCTCCTTTATTAAGACAATGTCTCCTATATTTGGTTCTGGAACCTTGTTAGACCACTTGTACCTATGCATCAGATTGGTTAAATACTCTTGGGACCAGCGTTTCCAAAATGACTGAAGCATTTTTTGAATATGTTGCCAACGAGTTA